CCTCCGGCGGCACGCGCCGGCCTCGCACAAAGGCTGCCGCGCCCGGGCAGGAGGCGATGCTGTCCGCCTTACCCAGCGCATGGAGCTGCCGGGCCGGTCGCGGCGCCTGGCGGCGGGCTCCCCTCCGCCCCCCGGGGAGTTGAGAAGCAAGGCGGGAGGGCGGGAGCTGCGGCTGCAGCTGCGGTTGCCTCGCCTCGCCTCGCCAGCTAAGCAGCGCCTCCCTGGTTCCTTTTTCCTCCTCCTCCCGCTTCTTACACGCGAGCTTTTTTTTTTTTCTCCTTCCCCTTAAGGGGGTGGGGGGCAGGGGGAGGAGAGCACAGACCACAGGCAGAAGAGGGCTGGTCTGCAGTCCCCCCGCCCCCCAAAAAGGGCAACCGAGGCAAACTGGGATCTCAAGCATTTTCTAAACCCTTCCTGAGCTCACAGGGAAAGTGCTCCCCTTTCTGGCCCAGGCAGCAGGCTGCTATTGTGCCCTGTGGCTGTCTCCCCACTCCTCCTTTGCTTTCCTGCCCAGCACATTCATATTTTCCGCTGTCACAACATTTCCCTTCCACCTAAGAGGTCCTTTTATGGGCTCCCCCTTACTGCCCTGTCTCATTTACAAAAGCCCCACATGCAAATGCCATTATTAGGTTGGCAGAGGTAGGATTAAGGAAAGAGACCCACCTACTTGGCCTTTGTAGCAAGTAGTATCAGGTTTTTTGTATTTCAGCCACAGCAAGAACCCTCTTCTGGTCCCTCCAATGTGTGGCCACAGCTCTAGGAGCAAGCTCTTTTAAAGCAGTATTACACCACCTATGTCTTACACAAACCTTAATCATGCTAACCTGGCCAAAGTCTTCAATTTACTAACTACCATTTTAAATGAGGCAAGATGGTAAAGAGAGCTTAAATTAGGGGAGCATTGTACAACACTGCACCAGCATCACACTTTGGGGAGAAGTTCTGGTCCAGATCCAGAAAAGGACTTAGATATGTAGTTAAGAAGTCTAATCCTTGGAGTCCCTGCTCACCCCACATACACCTCAAAAATTGCATAGGAATTCCAGTCTGCAGTCTGGAAATACAGCTTCTTTTCTTACTCAGCTTTCTGCTTAGGGTTATGTCATGTCCTGACAAGTGCTGAGCAGCTCAGCACTTAGACTAAACTTGGTTGGGACTGCAAACCAGGCATTTAGAGGGCAAGCAGAGTCCAGGATTGAGCCAGGTCAGGGACTCAGGAGGTCAAGAAGGGAGCAAAGTCTGAGCAAGCTGAGTCAGGAAACTCAGAAATGTTTCAGCTGTAGGTCAGGAAGAGCCCTACTGCCCAGACACTTCCTGTTATTCTCCCCACTCTTATACAGAGGAAGTGGAGAGTCTGGTGGTGGAAGTCAGTTCCTCAGGTATCGGCGTGTGTGGGGATTCGAGCACCAATGGAGACTTTAAATAGGCCTCCATTCAGCCTCTAGAATGAAGAGCAGGGTTGGGGTGGGTGGTTATGCTGGTCAGACCAAAACCCTCTGTTCAAAGCCATAAGCCTGATGTGTCCCCAGGTCTCTCACTTCCTGGGTACATGCTGTAACTGCTTTGCTACCACAGAAGAGGCCATGTCATCTCATTGTGGGATGAAAACAGCTATAGCACTCATGCTTGTACACGTCTTGGGTTGGGTGTGCTCTGAGCACATCCATTACTGGATCATCTTGTTCAGAGAAGCACCCAAAGATGACTTATGTACAAGGTCTTGTAAACCACCTTGAGTTGACGTGCTAAACTGCTCAAGATTGCAGCACCTGGTAGCAGAGCTTTCACTGAGCAAGAGCTTTACTGAAAAATCAGGCTATGAAAAGGGATGCATGACATGATTATTGGAGTTTGTTCTCTAGGAAGGAGCAGACTTGGCCAGCTGTCTCAAAACTGGCTGCCCACAGTGCATAAGCCTCAAACAAGACAAGTGCCAGTGGCAATTGCTCCAGTTCCATTCCTGACTGCAGTCTCTTTTGTATCCCACTTCCTGTTTCTATAGGACTGGAGGGAGAGGGACAAGTAGTCCACTGATCAGTGTTTCATGATCATTTTAGATTCAAGGAGCCCCTGAGAAAGTCCCAGCTCTGAAACTTCACTCATTTATTGAGTACAGAAAAATGAGAGAAAATATTCTGTTACAAAGAACTGAGGAAGATCACAACAGGTCAGAATGGGTTGTAATGCGATGGATTCCTTTTTGAAATCTCTGGGTTTATCGCGTGAATCACATTGAGATTTTGCATCTACATGCATGGCATCTAGTATTGCATGGCACCCTTAAAAAGGATCTTGTGGAACACTGGTTGGAAAAAAAAAAAAGTCTTTGCCATGGACTGATATCTAGAAGGGCTCTTCCAAGGAACCCAGGGTACCTCTCAGTACTATGCTCATAAAATAGGAATATATATCTCCATACCTGACCTAAGGTCACAGAAAAAGTATGACAAGACTGGGAATTGAGCTCAGTTTCCTTGCTTTCCAACAAGCAAACTAGCTCCTGAATCATCCTTCCTCTCAGACAAACCCTTTAAGCACGGAAACTGTGTTTGGGTGCCAATTTCAACCCTGTGATTCATCCCAGATCAGCAAGAGTATATTCCACCCAGCAGTTCAAGGTGGTGCAGAGCAGGGTGGAAAAAAAAACTGGCCTGGCTCCATACAGCCTCTGCCAGCTAGGACCCCTGTACTCCTGCCACCCTGCTCTGGGCCCTGCTAGCACTGGCCCCAGGACACTGCTGTGGGCCCTGTGCACCCACTCAATCCCAGTGCCCCCCAGCCCCACAGTACAGGTGGGGGGCAGCATGCAGCCCTGACACCCTGCTGTGTGGCAGGGAATGAGCTGGTGTTGAGTGGGGCAGGGGGAAAACAGCCCTTCCTCCGCCCCATGGCCAGCGCTCTCTGCTGCAGCCACTCACAGCCCGCACAGGGCTGCCCTGAACAGGTACAGGCAGGGGCCAGGGCAAAGAGGCAGCAGATGTTTGCAGCTGGCCCAGGTTTGGGTAGCTGCTGACAGCTACAGAGCCTGGGCTGGGGGAGCAGGGGGCACAGGCAGGGCAACGTGCCATGTACCCCCCGACCCTCATTTTGTTTTGGACAGGCACAGGCAGCCCCACACAGGCTGCGAGTGGCTGCAGTGCGGGGCCCTGCCCATGCAGCAGGCAAGGGGCCACTTCCCACTCCCCCACACTCAGCACTAGCTTGTTACCCACCCTCACTGCCAGCCTGAGCCCCATGCCAGCTCCAGGCTCATTTGTTGGGGCTGTGCCATGGCAGCAGCTGCGGGACCCCCACTTGCCATACCAGGCAGTGTTTGCCACCACCATCTCTGGGCTGGCAAGTGCACAAGCTCCAGGCAGGCAGCAGCAAACACAGCCTAGTGCAGCAAATAGTGGGGGGGGCGGGAAGAGGGGTGCAGCTGCTCCCACCATAGTGCAGCCCCTATGGGCAAGCCCAGAGCTGGTGCTGGGGTGGGGATTACAAGCTGGTGCCAAGCATGAGAGAAGCGGCCCCTGCCCCACCATGTGCCCGACACCCCGCACTGCAGCTACTCACAACCCACCTTGGGGGCTGCCTGTGCCTGCTCAGGACAGCCCTGTGTAGGCTGCAGCAGGGACTGTGGGCCACAGAGCGCATGAGGGGCCACTTTTCCCTGGGCTCTTTTCCTCCCCTCCCCACCACCCCTTACTTGAGGTTCCTATACCAGGGAAGCCCTGCTGTTCCAGGCCAGAAGCCCCTGCTGGGGCTTATGGCTGGAGGGGCAGGGCTGAGCACACCCTGCTGTTGCCAGAGCCTGCCAAGCTTTCCCCATTTCCTGTCAAAAGTGACAGGACCCAGAGACAGAGAAATATTAAGTTTTCTAAAAATTTTTTTTTTTTTTAAAGGGGCCCTGTGGGCCAGATAGAATGGCCTTGTGGGCCAGATTCAGCCCGTGGGCCATAATTTTGCCTACATTTGGGTTTAAGGGAAACCACGTTAAAAGAATTTCCCAGCTGCTTGGCCAATGATGAGAGAGAAGACAAGAAAAGGGTCAAGGCAAGCACTTTAAAATTGACTTTGCTCCAGGGAGTTGCTCAGGACATTGGAAGGAACTGGTGGCTCTACTTGGTTGCTATAGATAGTAGACATAGGGCATGACTATACAGTGGGTAACCTCAAAACAGTATCTAGCTGCTGGGATACCATCTGTTTGTACATTACTCTTCCAGGATCATAAGTAAACATCCTCCCTTATGAAAAGGCAAGAAAAGGAGAGGAATGTAGGCCTCACTGGATAAAGAGATCAGTATATTATTTACACACATACACACCTCTTACATAAAGGTTTTTCTAAAGCACTGGCCAGAGTAGGCCTGATCACATGCCAGTTCAGGTCACTAAATTTTTTATATAAACAAAGCTTGGAATGTGGGCCAATTGTGCACTCCTTCCAGGAGTTTGGAGGGGGAGGAGATGCACAAGTGTCCAGTACCAGGTTAAGACTAGAATGGGAACACCTAGATCAAGGTGTTGAACACACCCATGGTACAGGACAGTTCAAGATACTTGAGATTAGTGGGATGCAATATGAAATTTGTTTTGATTACTGCATAAAAACCAAGAATGAGAACACAACTAGCTCTCATGCGATCTTCACAACAACCATCTATGGAGAGGCTGCCAGGTAGCTTTCCCAGAGCAGCATTAAGTACAGAAGCCCCTCTAATTAGTAAATCAGCAATGTAAGTGAGGAGAGATCATAGGAAAGTAGGGGTGGAATGAACCTTATGGGATCATCTCTAGTTTAACTCCCTGCGCAGGATAGGATCATCTCCAATTACAAGTTTCCCCTCAATTTATGTGGGCTCTTTACATGCAAATTTCCTCTTATGTGATGAGAATATTTAGATCCATAATTCATTATATGCGAGGTAAATTCACTCATATGCAATCAGCATAGAACCCCCCCTCCCCCAAAGGCAACTCTGAACAGGGAGGGGAAAGGACCACGGCCACAGCAGCCCCAGGAGCTGCCAGCATCAGCTGCCTGCAGCCACTGGGCTGCACCATGCCCTGAACCCCTAGGGGCTCTGCCCATCCCCATGCACCCCAGCTTCTGCTGCACTGCCCTGGGAGCAGGTGATGCCAACTCCCTGTAGCCACTGGGCTGCACTGTGCCCTGGTGCAGGCAGCTGGCACCAGCAGCTCCTAGGGCTGCTGCAGCCAGGGCTGGGGTGAGTGCTGCACCCTGCACGGCTCAGGGTTCCATTTGTCCACTTACCCCAGACCATGCTGGAGTGGCCCCAGGAGCAGCT